AAATTAATTATTTTTATGTAAATATTTAGTGTGTGATTGATTTTGTGGTCCTTGTGATATTGAGTGCTGAATAGAACCCTTTGGATTCAAATTGGTAAAAAACTATTCAAGCAATTAATCTTAAGGTAAACCATTACTGTAAAAAATAAATATTTTTATTTTTTTATTTTGTTTGCTGTTTGCTGAAAGTTATGCTACTTTTAGGCAGTTTTAGCAATGAGTTACTGGACAAAAAGAAGAAAGATTCGAGGCGAAGTGCAACATATTTTAACTGAAATAATTGACACTGAAAAGCGTAATATTGATGTTAGAGAGAAATGGGCTACAGCAAGCTTATCACCTCAATTGTCTGAAACATTAGTGGTTCCTGTTACTAAATTAAGCAGCTAAACTCCTTTATTCAACCCTTTATTTAACAATTGCAGTGAGACATCAGAGAATTTTGCATCACCTTTGGGTGATGTTGATGAATATGACGAAGTTGAAAATGCCATTATGAGCGATTCTGAATCTGATCAAAGCTCTCAGTTCAGTATGATGTAAGAACTTGTAACAGATTTGGCATCATGGTCATGTTCTTTTAATATTACACTTACTGCGTTAACTGCTTTGCTGACTATTTTACGAAAAATTTGCCCTGATTTGCCAAAAAGTCCAAAAACAGTAATGCAGTCTGAAATCTACAAGAAAGAGGTACGTGACAGTTCATATTGTTATTTTGGCATAAAGCAAGGGATTGTTAATAGATTGTCACAGTTAGTTGCTAAAGGTACGACAGTGAATCAGATAATTATGTTACAATTCAATATTGATGGATTGCCATTATTTAAAAGTTTAAAGATACAGTTGTGGCCAATTCTGTGTTTAATGGAACATTTTGATGGTGTGGTTCAAACAAATAGGGAGCCGTTTACAGTTGCATTATACTGTGGAAATAGCAAGCCGACTGATATTAATGCATTTTTGACTTTGTTGAGGAAATAAAAGACCTTCAGGAAACAGGAATCATATTTAACAATGTGTGTTATGAAATAAAAATTTCTGCTCTGGTTTGTGACACCCCAGCGCGAGCTTTTATTAAATGTATTAAGGGTCACAGTGCATATCATGGATGTGATAAATGTGTACAACATGGTTTTTATGCCGGGCGTACAACTTTTCCGGAAACAGCAGCAGCTCTTAGAACAGACTCATCATTTCTAGAAATGAAAGATCAGAAACATCATTAGGGAAAAAGCCCACTTGTTGCTATTCCATCATTAGGAATGATATCACAGGTACCTGCAGACTACATGCATTTAGTTTGTCTTGGCGTAATGAAGAAAATGGTTTTTATGTGGCTCAAGGGACCTTTAGCCACCAGACTTGGCCCACGTGTGGTCAAAGATCTATCAGAAAAATTGGTTGACATGAGACCTTACATTCCATCGGAATTTGCGCGTAAGCCACGGCCATTTCATGAATTTGAACGTTGGAAAGCAACAGAATTTAGGCAACTATTGCTTTATAAAGGCATGGTTTGCTTTGATGGGATTCTTTCACCTCCACTCTATAATAACTTTATGCTTTTATCTGTTGCTATGAGCATCTTGCTAAGTGAATTTCTATGCAAGAAATATGCTTCGTATGCGCATAGTTTGTTATTGCTATTTGTAGAGCATGTCTCGGAGATTTATGGCAAAGAGGTTATTACATATAATATGCATGGGCTGGTACATTTGTCAAATGATGCCAAAAAATTTGGTCCTCTGGACAATATTTCATCATTTCCATTTGAGAATTATTTATCTCAGTTAAAGAAATTCGTTTGGAAGCCTCACTTGCCTTTGCACCAAATAGTTCGAAGACTTGGTGAGAAGAGAGCAATTCAACAAAAACAAAAAAACGAAAGTGAGCATAATAGTACATACTTTAAGAAGGAGCATTATAATGGGCCAGTCGTCAAATCGTTGAAAGTATGTGCTCAGTACAAGAAATTGTTTACCAAGCGTTGGTGCATAAAAATTACAGATGGAGATAACTGTTTTAGCTTGAACAATGGCAAAGTAATTATTGTGCAGAATGTTGTAAAAACAGCTGAGCAGTCCTTTATTTTGTATAAATAGTTTAAAAAACTTGAAGATTTTTTTACATACCCATGCTGCTCTATGAAGGTGGATATTTTTAATGTTTCTTGCTTGGAAAACGAATTGCTATACTGTTCACCAACAGAAATTAAAAGAAAATATGTTCGCCTACCAATTGATAATGATTATGCTGTCATTCATTTCAATTGCTATGATGCAATTTTAACATTTGTGCAATGAAATCTTGTTCAATCGAAAAAAAATGTTTTTAAATGATTTGAGCATTTATTATTATATTTAAAACAAAATCAATGTGTTCAAGTAAACAAATTAATGCAATAATTTTATTAGAATAAATAGTTAAAATCTATGTAATGTTGAATATTGTTTTTAGATATTATAATTATAATCAATTAATCATATAAAGTGCAAGTAATGCTATTTCAGTTATAAATCATAAGTGCAAGTAATAACTGTTTTTAGGTATATAAATAATTGGTGCAAGTAATAACTGCTTTTAGACAAATCAAACATATATATATATATATATATATATATATATATATATATATATATATATATATATATATATATATATATATATATATATATATATATATATATATATATATATATATATATATATATATATATATATATATATATATATATATATATATATATATAAATATATATATATATATATAATAGGGTGGTTTTTTTTTAACTTATATATATATTATATATAATAATATATAGGGTGGTTTTTTTACACATTAAGAGGCACTATCTCTCAATGTGTGCAAAATAATAAAATAACACTTAGTTTACAATTTTTTTGAATATAAAATATTTTAAGGGGCCCCCCAAGACCCTTGAATATCTATTATTAAAAAAAAACTCATAAAAATCTCAAAAAAAAATTTTGTTTTGAATAAAAATAATTATCTTAGGTTTTATTGCATAAAAAATCATGTTTTTTAACAAAAAATTAAAAAAATGCTTTTTTTAAAGTTTTTTAATGATAATTTTGATAAATAAATTGAAATAATTATTTTTGTTCAAAATAATTATTTATTATTTTTTAATATTAGGGACCCGTAAAATATTCAAGGGACTTGGGGGACCCCTTAAAATATTTTTTATTCAAAAACAAAAATTAAACCTAGTGTTATTTTATTATTTTGCACACATTTAGAGGTTGTTTTTTTAAAAGAAAGTTAAAAAAAAAACCACCCTATATATTATTATTATATATATATATATATATATATATATATATATATATATATATATATATATATATATATATATATATATATATATATATATATATATATATATATATATATATATATATATATATATATATATATATATATATATATATATATATATATATATATATGTATGTATATATGTATATATATATATATATATGTATATATATATATATATATATATATATATATATATATATATATATATATATATATATATATATATATATATATATATATCATTGCATTATAGCTTGTTTAACACTTCAATTGTATTTTATTGCAACAAATAATGTTTAATGTGTTTGTTCTAATAAATTCTAAATAAATGTGATGTCTGAAAATACTTAAATAGTATTTCAATTATTTGAACTTTCTGGAATTTTATTCTAGTATAAAATATTTTTTTATTTCCTTATTTTTGACTACCTAAAATGAGTATTCTAAGTACTTCAATTTTATGAACTTGTGGAATTACCTTATTACAGCATAACATTTTTAAATGTTTTTTTACTTCCTTATATTAGACTTTATAAAATGAGTATTCTAAGTACTTCAATTATATGAACTTGTAGAATTACTTTATTACAACATAAAATATTTTATTGTTTTTTTACTTCCTTATTTTTGACTGTATAAAATGAGAATTTTTAAATAACGGAAGAAAAATATTGAGAAAGGTTTTACTTAAAAGTAAGTCTTTTTTTTTTTTTTCAGCTTTTATTTACTGTTTATATATATATATATATATATATATATATATATATATATATATATATATATATATATATATATATATATATATATATATATATATATATATATACATACATATAAAATACTATATAATGTTGTAGGTATATTATAATTGAATTTGTAACAGGTTTATTATAATGTTCTGCACTTTCAGGATGTCTATGGAAAAGTATGTTATTGTTGCCTTCTTGGAGGAGGATAATGCAGTTGCAGTTGTGCCTGCAGCTTGGCTGATCAACAGCGAGTTGTGTTATTGGCCTCCATATACCAGTCAAGACAGAAAAAATAAAGCGGCAATAAATTGTGAAATACCATCTTAAAAATGGTCTAAACATTCTTGTCGAATTTTCCAGAAAGTTCAAATAATTTTCAATTATTTGAACTTTCTGGAATTTCATTCTAGTATAAAATATTTTTTTATTTCCTTATTTTTGACTACCTAAAATGAGTATTCTAAGTACTTCAATTTTATGAACTTGTGGAATTACCTTGTTACAGCATAACATTTTTAAATGTTTTTTTACTTCCTTATATTTGACTTTATAAAATGAGTATTCTAAGTACTTCAATTATATGAACTTGTGGAATTACTTTATTACAACATAAAATATTTTATTGTTTTTTTACTTCCTTATTTTTGACTGTATAAAATGAGAATTTTTAAATAACGGAATTAAAATATTGAGAAAGGTTTTACTTAAAAGTAAGTCTTATTTTTCTTTTCAGCTTTTATTTACTGTTTTTATATATATATATATATATATATATATATATATATATATATATATATATATATATATATATACATATAAAATACTATATAATGTTGTAGGTATATTATAATTGAATTTGTAACAGATTTATTATAATGTTCTGCACTTTCAGGATGTCTATAGAAATGTATGTTATTGTTGCCTTCTTGGAGGAGGATGATGCAGTTGCAGTTGTGCCTGCAGCTTGGCTGATCAACAGCGAGTTGTGTTATTGGCCTCCATATACCAGTCAAGACAGAAAAAATAAAGCGGCAATAAGTTGTGAAATACCATCTGAAAAATGGTCTAAACATTCTTGTCGAATTTTAGGGACCAAAGGCAAGTTTTATATGTTTTATTTTAATATTATTGACATTGACATTATAATAAAAGGATGCAAACATAAATTGGTATTGTTCACAAATGTCAAATATATATTACTGACACATTGATATATTAGTTTCCTAAATATTAAATTTGACTTGACTTGTTTTATGTTTCTAGATATGTTTGTTTTCATTTTCTGAGTTAAATAAAATGATTAATATATCAGCAGGATTCAAAATCAACATTTTGTTTAAAGTCTACTACAATTTTTATCACAGACTCGTATGCAAAGGCCAGATCTGAACTTGGTAAAGCTGAGATAACATCAGATTTACAGAGTGATGTAGATGTTTCAAGACTACGTACAAAACGGTAAATTCAAGTATTATATAGAGTAAATTAATTTATTATATAAAGTAATATTAATTAATTAAACGAAATAGTTATTGTGTTAAAAAACAAATAGTGCAATGAAGTTTCTACGTATATAAATATATTGCACTTAATGTAATTTATTATTCCTTTTTGTGTGTGTTTAGTATTCAGAAATATCTTGAAGATGACAACGATAATAGTGATGAGTATTCTGACAAGGATTCTCAGCAAATAAATAAACTACCCCTTTGCCAAGTTTCTAAGAAAAGGGAAGGTTCTGCAGACGGGAGCAACAGTCAATCGAAAACTAAATCTCACAAACCAGCCCCTAAAGCACCTCCATTTCCTGTGTCTAGTCCTTGCTCTTTAACACCTTCATCTCCTGTAATCAGTGAACGAGCTATACCAGAATCAATTTCACAGCCATTTACTAGAGCTATTGAACAAGGCTCTGAGTTATCTACATCACATGTAGCTAGTCAACAATCTGTAACACCTGCAACCACAAGTAGTTGGCAATCTGCAACATCTACATCTGCTGCTTGTTACCGAACTTCAACACATGCAGCATCAGAATTGCATACAATCAGTCGGCGTAATTTAGAAGATATATCATTTGTTTCAGCAGGCGCCTTTATAGAAGGAGAGTTAGAACAAGTGATAGCCAACCTCGTTCCTAATATTCCGACTAGCTTGTCAATTCCAGCTACTAGTTTGAATGCCACAGAATTGTCTACAGCAGCTAGTCATACATCTGCACAAACATCAAACAGTGTTTTAAATAAAATATTTACTCTTTTAGTTGAGCTGAAAAGCGAAGTAGCTAATCTTCAGAAGCAGACTACTTACAACACTACTATGTTGCAGACTTTGTCACAAGGTGGGATACAAGACGATGGCAACATTTTTGAAACTCTTGATCTTCCTGTATGTGACCGAAAACAGCTGCAGCAGCTTGAAGATATTATTACTAAAGACAATCTTTTATTTAATAAACTTGTAAGTACAATTTGACTTAATAATAAATTTCTCCAAAAAATTTGATATCTTAAAAACATCTTATGTATTAAAAATATTTGCATGCGAGAGTTTATGATCTATTTGAAGTAAGCAATACTTTACAATCTATAACTAAATTTAATCTTACTTATTGTTTTGCTTCATCTTCAGGTTTGTACCGATCAAAACACGAACCCCCTGGAGGTTCGTGTTTTGATCGCCTCCCCTTTTTTTATTAGCAAATTCTCTAATTCAAGCAAATTTTAGCATAAAAATTGAGCAAGATATATATTAGCTAATCAAAAATGCTTTTTTTTCAAATGCAACCTGGCCTCATCCTAGTTACTGTTTTTATTTATTTCTATGATTTTTATGATATTGCCAAAATACAGATGAAATAATCAATTAAATGTCGACGGTTTAATGTTTAGGTGCATGGTGTTGCTTCGAAGGGCGGTCAGAACCTGAAGGAAGCCGTTAGAAGGATGGTTTCCTCTATAATGGAAAACGACGTAGTAAAACAAATGAATTGGTCAGGATTTGGTGAAAATCTAAAAAAAACCTTTCGTGGCTTGAAATGCCGACAAGTTCTGGAAAGTAAGCGAAACTTAATTTTTGTTAATATCACCTATAATTTAGCAAATGAACCTCAGAAACAGTTGTTTACTGCATCAAAATTGCTTATTCTATGATATTAAATTTTAATTACTATAAATACTTAATGTATAGAAAATATTTTATTTAGTAATATTAAATGTTATTATAATAATGTGAACTAAGTCAGGGCATAACTGCGTATTATATTATGATGCACATTTGCAGGAGCATTGCGAAGAAATCCACCAACGAAAGGTGCTTCAGAAAGTGATGTGCAGAAGGCCGTGGTTCACTATTTAGCAGGGGCTAGTGATCGTAAGGGTGGTAGAAAACAAAGAGCCATTCGACAATCAATAAAAAAAACTCACTTTGAACATCGTGCACTAATGCCTACAGCTTCATCGGCAGTTATAGAACAACCTTTAGTAGCGCCTAAAACTTCAGCGGAAGTTTTACTGCATCATTTGCCACTTTTCTGCTCAGACGACTCAAACAATTATTTATGTTAAAAATTAGTTATGCTAAATGCTGCTACCTTATAGTTTCTTCAGAAACGTTTTAAAAGTTGTTTCCCATATTCATAATGTAGTTATATTTTTCGTGTATTAATATTGTATTTTATGTTGTGGTTATGTTTTTATTATGTACATGTGTTAGTTCAAATTACAGAATATATTTCTTTATACCTGGTTTTATGTTATTTTACAAATTATAAGAGTATTAATGGTTTATTGAATAGTTTTAAAATATTTCTTATTAAAGCTCCTTAGATATTTATTAAAGCTTTTTTGATGGACCGTTAATCCCGCTCCGGTGAGCCATTTGGGGACCTGCGTTAGACCAGTTCGGGTTTGCCATTTGCGGACCGCTGATAAGCCATCACTGAATTGCCAATGGCGGACCACTGAAACACCAGCACTGCGCCTGCACTGGCAAGCCAGTGCCGGACCGTGACAAAGCCAGTGAGCAAATCGGCGCTGGCCCAGTGCTGGCTAGCCAGATACCGGTATATCGTTGCAGATTGGGGTGTTGATACTTTTGTCTTTTTTATAAAAACAAATCAAATGGAGATTTTGATAATGAAAATGCAAAAATAAAAGATTGATACTGATATATTAAAAGAAAATTATTTGAAGCACAGTAAAAACTCTTAAAGATCAAAAATATCAAACTATAAACATATAAGCAGTACAGGAAAAATGTGTCTATAAAGAATAACAAACAATTGCATTAATTGCATACTGCATCACCCCCTTAAGTATGAGGAGTGTTTAACTCAGATTAAATTTTAGTGCTTTGTTGTTGTTAACCATATGCTGCTAGTGTTAAAAATGGATGAGCCTACTTTTCAAATAATTTTGCTTACTACAAAAATCTTATTGTTATTTGTGACCTCGCGGTAGAAAAGAGGTCAGATAGGGGGAATGAATCATTCATACCAAAGAAGCAAACTAATTAAACTGAACAAAATAACACCAAGATCTTTAAAATTGCTCAACTAGGTAACTAAAGTTATGCTTTTTTATATTCTAAAGTTTAAAAACGGCAATTGTCGGGATTTAAAAGTTTTAATAAATATGTTGATTGCTATGTTATGCTCAACTAGAAATAAACGAACGTTAATTTGATCAATTTAATCAATTCAGTTAATAGTCTGATATAATCCATCTACCAAATTCAAATGAAAACAGAAAACTTAAAAACCACAGGTCACTGTGTTTAAACATGATTTTCTCAGAAACTAGATCCCGCCATGTGGTCCCTTTTCTACCGCGAGGTCACATTTTGTTTATTGTTCAAGTTAATCTCATTTTCTTTAATCTAGCATAATTTTTCAACCTACTATTTTTTAATTTTTATTATGAAAGCCTTTTTATACATTTTATCTAATTATTTTATCTTATGATTGTGAACCACTATGTGTGGACATAATAAATAAAACCACAAAAAACATTATCATCAACGTTTTATACAGACAACCTTCCGGCTCAATAAAACAATTCGAAAAGCACATTAAAAACATAATTAAAAATAAATTAAGCGAAAATAAAAGCATTTAATTTATAGGTGATTTTAACCTTGACCTGAACATGACTTATTTAAATACAAGCATAAATAGTTTCTTTAACGACATATATCAGAAAGGCTTTATTCCACTAATTAATAAACTCACAAGAATAAGTAGAGAAAGCGCAACTCTCATAGATCAAATAGTCACTAATGAACTAAAATCAAAAATAAAAACAGGAATATTTAAATGCGACATTTCAGATCATTTCCTTATATTTCTTATTTCACAAGAATGTGATAACATTTATGCACAAAAAGTTAAAAAAATACGCGATATATAAATGATAAATCCATGGAAAATTTTAATATTCTTTTATCAGATTTAAATTGGGATGACCTCCTTGATATTGAACACGTAGATATGGCATACGACAAGTTTATTGATAAATTACAACAACTTTACAGTTCGGCTTTTCCTGTAGTTACAAAATGTGTGAAAAAAAAACATTATTAAGTCCATGGATAACGCCTAGAATTATAAAGTGGTCGAAAAAAAAGCAACGACTTTATAATAAGTTTCTAAAAAAAAAAACTTTCAATAATGAAACTAATTACAAAAATTATAAACGCATTTTTGAGATGGTTATCAAAAAGTCAAAGAATTATTACTATACTGAGCATTTAATAAAAAATAAAAATGATCCAAAAAAAACTTGAAACACAATTAAGGAAGTAATTGGCACGAAACAAAATGACGGAAATAGTCTTACTATAAAACTAAACATTAAAAACAAAGCTATTACAAATAAATCTTTAATTGCTGAAACACTTAATCAATATTTTGTCAGTGTTGGTTCCACTTTAGCGTCGAAAATAGAAACTACTGAAGTAAACTTTGAGTCATATCTCACTCCTAATATGACCTCTAAGATGAAAAATTATGAAATTAGTGAAAAGGAACTCTTAGATTCAGTATACTTTTACTAACCAGGGTATTCAACTGACCATGCCATTATTAAAACTAAACAAAAGTGTGGGTTTTGATAATCTTAGTAGTTATGTAATTAAAAAATCAATAAAGTACTTAACAATCCCTCTTTTACATATTTTTAATCTATCTTTAAAACTAGGCATTTATCCGGAAAAACTAAAAATTGCAAGGGTCATACCTATTTTCAAGTCAGGAGACATATTTATTCCTGAAAATTACAGATCAATATCAATTCTTCCTTGCTTCTCCAACATCTTAGAGTGAATTATGTATAACTGAATTTTAACTTTTCTAAATATAAATAATACTCTATATAACAAACAATTTGGTTTTCAACAAGGGTATTCAACTGACCATGCCATTATTAATATTGTTCACGATATATTTAAAGCGTTTGATGAAAGTAAGTTTACCCTAGGAGTTTTTATAGATCTTAGCAAAGCCTTTGATACAGTAGACCATATAACATTCTTATAAAAAAACTCGAAAGTTATCGTATTAAAAACAAATATTTAGAATGGCTTAAAAGTTATCTTAACAATAGAAAACAATACATAGCACACGAAGAAATAAAAACTAAATTCTTGACTATTACTTGCGGTGTTCCCAAGGCTCAATTCTGGGTCCACTTTTATTTCTTATTTATGTAAACGATTTCCATAAGTTTTCAAACATTTTAAACTCAGTTTTATTTGCAGATGATACAAATTTGTTTTATTCTAATGGAGATATCAACCTCTTATTTAAAATAGTAAACAAGGAATTTTTAAATCTAGCGGAATGACTTAAGGCAAATAAATTGCTTTAAATTTAATTAAAACTAAGTATACTTTTTTTCATAGACTTCACGATAAAGAAAATATTCTATTAAAACTTCCTGATCATTACAATAGCAACTCTAAAAAGTTAGAGAGTCATTATTAATGTTTTTAGGAGTGATACTTGACAAAAGCATGACATGGAGAGAACACATAAGAACAATTGAAAATAAAACTTAGAAAAATATTGGCATATTATACAAAGCTCAGCAAATCGTAAACAAAAACTGCTTAAAAATCTTATTTTTCTCCCTCATACATTGTTAAATAAACTATGCAAATATTGCATGGTGCAGCTCTAATGTAAGTAAAGTTAAAAAATTGCTTAGTAGACAAAAACACGCTGTCAGGATTATTTTAAATGCAAGTCGATTCGCACATTCTAAAGAACTATTCAAAAATCATTACATACTCAATGTTATTGAGTTAAACCTTTATCAAATTCTTATTTTTATGTACAAACTACATCATAAGTTAACTCCTATAATTTTAATACATTATTCAATAAAATTAATCACGTGTACCATACAAGATTTTCAAATTACAATTAGCAGCAATCTAAAATACACTAGTTGGCTACTAAATTTTCTATTGCTATCAGAGGTCCTAAATTATGAAACATTTTATTAAATAACCAGCTTAAAAAGTGTTCTTCATTTTCTCTATTAAAATAAAAACTCAAACAAAAACTTCTTAACGATGTTAATGAATTAAATTGTTTTTAAGGTTCTTTTATCTTCTTTTTTAACAACTATCTTATTAACTAGTCTAACCAATTTAAACTTTCTTTAATTATCCTATTAGCTATCTTCTGTTTTTAAGAGTGATTGCTCTTTTTTTTTTTTTGTTTTTTTTTTTTTTTGTTTTTTTGTTTTCACAATTTTTATTTGATTATAGATTAGTAACTAATCTTAACGTATTTGTATGTATTTGTATATAATTTTTAAATGGTACAAAGTAATTTTATGTTTTCCCCGGTCATGTAGATTTTGTTTATATAACACGGCATTGTTTTCTTTTTTTTTAATGACAAATAAAAAAATTAAAAAAAAAATGATTTAATGGCTTTTCTTTCTTTTTGTTTAATATTGTTTCGAAAGTTTGATTGTCACTTGTTGCATTTTTAGGTTTTTGGGTTACCGAGACCCTAACACTTTTGAGTGTCCCTATTTTAGGATGGGAGAAAACCGACGATTCTACCAGGTGATACCGGCCTAAAGTTGGCAACATGCAAATCGATTTACATTTTTATTGACAGCTTATTTCAAGTAAAGTCCAATAATTTAACTTGAGAAATGCTGCTGTGCAATTCCCAAGCATTAAAAAATAGAATCGTACCTGCTTCATTAAACAGAGGAATATAAATATAGTCTTATTTTTGCTACAGCTTGAGAGTTGCAGTGGCTTCTGAAAATGAACTGAAAAAATCTTCAGCTACTAGTAGTTAATCGTTTTTACATTAATTCTTATTTATTGTCTAACTAGGCAATAAGAAAATACCAATAAGATTACTAATAAAAGTTACTCATCAAAGAAAAATACTAGGATTGGGTAAAGTGTTTCCTAGTTTTAATTACTTCCTTTCCCTATTTTAAAATACTTTGTAATTTAAGACTAACAAATTTTTGCACAAAGAAGTAATCGTTTTTTTTTGTCATAAATTATTCCAACGTTGATCATTGTTACAATAAGCCTAAAATATTAGTTAAAACCAAAGTCTTGTGGTTTTGGCATTTTTTTAAGTAAACCATTTTCAATGTTACTATAAAAAACAACCTTCATAAATACTTTGGCTTTGCGCACAAATCAGTAACTAAGTTTTAAGGAAGCAATTGTGGGAGTTTAAACTCACGCAAATTTACAAATTAAATGCATAAATACTTTCAAATGTTACAAGCAAATCAGTATTTCAGTGTTGAAAAAACGGTGAAAAGAAAGAAATTTATTTTAATAACGTGTTCAAATACTTAAATAAAAAGACTTATCCTGATAGTTTTAAAACAAATGAAAAACGATGTTTAAGAAATTTATCTCGAAGTTACGTTGTGCAAGGTAATTTAATTTTTTGTAACATTTAGTTTAGTAAAAATATTGTTCCAAGTTACAAAAAAAAGTCTAACAATCTTTTTTTGAAGAAAACAAGCTGAAAGGAAAGGTAAAAATCTACGGAAACTCCTATTTCGCGGATATTATACTTTGTGAAGAAGAAAAAATAACGATTTTTACTGAGGAACACGGAAGCCCTTTGGGAAGGCATAGTGGTGAAACAAAGACCAAGTCAAAAATTATGGAAAAATACTATTGGCCAAATATGACTACAGATATTTTTAAATTGGTAGGTAATCATTAATTACAAAAATATATCATTAAAAACTGAATTAAAGTTGCAACTTTTATTTCCACAGCCCAGTGGGCACGGGACGTAATAAAGACGTCCGTTTGACGTTCACTTGTCGTCCGTCCGTCCCATTTATTTTCTGAACGTGTTTTTTGCGTCTAATACAAAAATTATCCAGAATCCTTTATTAATTGTACTTTAATTACTCTTTTTCGTAGGGTTTTCTGGTTAATTTTTTAATCAAATTGAAACTTTTTTAAATCGAATTCCTTACTTTACAATTGCAAAAGAATAATACAATGGAGTATCGGATTAATAAATGGAAAGCGATAAACAAACAAGTTCTTGCTAATTTAAATGTTTGTAGTCAATCAATTGAAAATCATATCGGTAATGATATAAATGATACTGAAATTGATGTAGATGTGGAAAGCAATAATTTAAAATTAATTATATCAACAAACAGTTCGGATTATTCAAAAGAATCAGATATTGAAGAATCGTGTTTTTCAGAAGGTAAACCAATAAGCGACACAGAAATCGAGGTTCCTGATAAATCTCAAAATTTACTATCTCTAAGTCAACAACTTTCAGCCTGTGCTGTTCGAAATAACTGGACAAGGACATCACTTAATGAACTAATTGAAATATTACGTAATCAAGGTTTGGAGCTTCCTAAAGATGCAAGGACAATTTTAAAAACTCCGAGAGAAATAGATATTCAAGAAAAATGTGGCGGTAGTTATGCATTTTTTGGAATACAGGCAGGTATTATGAATATATTTTCCCACTTAGAAATAATAGAATCGGTTTTTTTGAATTTTAATATTGATGGGTTACCATTGTTTAAATCGTCTGGTAAACAATTGTGGCCAATATTAGCTTGCTTTGATTGTTTTGATATTTTCATTGTTGCCATTTATTGTGGTGAAACCAAGCCTAATTCAGTAATTGATTACTTAATGGATTTTGTTTTTGAGTTAAGGCAATTATTACAAAATGGTTTTGTATACAATGGAAAACATATAAATGTAACTGTTAAATCATTCTTGTGTGATGCTCCAGCAAGATCATTTTTAAAAGGTATCACATCTCACAATGGTTACGACTCGTGTGAAAGGTGTTCCATTCACGGAACGTGGACAGAAGGCAGAGTTGTGTTTAATGAAGAAATTGTCTACCCACCTAGAGATGATAGTATTTACAGATCATTTGGATATAAAGGTCATCAAAAAATAATTTCTCCCCTTATTGAAATAGGTTTAAATGTTGTTGAAATGTTTCCATTAGACTATATGCATCTTGTATGTTTAGGAACTGTTCGTAGACTACTACATTTTTTAAAAAATGGCCCATGTGGAAAAATATCTGCATGTCAAATAAGTGAAGTTTCAACTTTACTATTAACATTTAATGCATACATGCCCAGCGAATTTGCTCGTCGCCCACGTGGCCTTCAAGATATGGACCGATGGAAAGCAACAGAGTTTCGACAGTTTATTTTATACACTGGCCCAGTTGTTTTGCGTTCAATTTTGTCAGATATTGCATATAATCATTTTTTGGCATTAAGTGTTTCCGTAAGTATTCTATTACAGGACAATGACAAAATACGTTTACAATATTTAGAATATGCTCGTGAACTTATCAAACATTTTGTATATAATTGCAAAAACATTTATGGACCCACATCTGCTACATTTACCAGATGACTGTTTATATCATAATTGCTCATTGGATTTAATATCATGTTTTAAATATGAAAATTTTTTGCAAAGGTTAAAAAAATCCATTAGAAATTCTGCTAATCCTATTGCTCAAGTGGCAAAGCGACAAGCTGAATTTCAAAATGCTTTTGTATCATTACCTAAGAAAACTTTGTATACCAAGATATCAAATGGAAGTAAAGATAATTGTTTTTTTATTCAAGGTAATGATGTGGCTTTTGTAAAAGAATACATAGATAGTGATTCGTTTTTGTGCGATGTTGTCAAGGCAAGGTACCTAGACAATTTTTATGATTTTCCAATGAACTCATTAGAGTTGAATATTGCAATCTTTCCTAATCGAAATAAAAGAAAACTAAAAAGACAAATTCTTCAAAAAGATGATTTCCTTAAAAAGTGCGTCTGTCTACCGGAACAACGTGGTTTTGCAATTTTTCCATTGCTGCATGAAAATGAAAGAGTTTAGACTTTGTTTTTGTTTATTATATTTTCATACATTTGTTGTTTTTGAACAAAAAAAATTTCTCTTATTTCACATATAAATAATATTTTAAAGGATTATAAATTTTTACTTTATTACTATTTATGTGTGTCAGAAATATTTTTAAGTTTGTTATTGTTTTATTAGATTTTATTTTTTTAAAATTAAAATTATAAATCTGGTCACTTTCTAATTAACATTATTTAAGATAAAATAAAATTTGAATCCACTTAAGATCTTGTGAGTTAACTTGATTAACTTTTTAGTTTTTTAGTCCTAGTTAACTTTTAATATATGTAAAATATGATTTTTTCCTTCTATTTTGACTTTTTTTTTAAATTTCACTTGAGTTTTTATAAATTCTAAATCTAAATATCTAAATATATCAAAAATCTAAACATATCATTGTAAATATACTTATAGCTAGTGTAGTAAGTACTTATGGCTTGGTGTCGAGCTGTATGGCAAGAACATGAACTTGAAGAAGAAGGTGTTATTCCATCATGTTGGGTAGATAGTGAGTTTGTGTATAGGCCATCAAAAATGAATGTTTTATCTGCTGCAAAGGAACATGCTAAGCCTGATACAACTTGGCATAAGTTCAAAATACTGAAAGTGAAGTGCTATGATGGCAAGTGATGCTTTTTTAAATTACATTCTAAATGTATTAAAATACAAATGTGTTTATTTTCAATATATTGTTTATTTTATTTTAGATGATAAGGAGTTATGTGAAAGTTACGAGTTTTCGTCGAATGACGAAGTACAAGCACTAAATAAGTATGAACCCATTAAAAAAGAGAATAAAATAATGAAGTATACTTTAAAAAAAGCAGCAAGTAGCATCTGTAAGATTAATCAAGTTTTTTTTGAATATTAAAAAAAACAATCTATAAGTTGCTTTACTTACAATATTATTTAGGTAATTGTTTAGAAATTTTCTATTTTTTGGCATTTCATAAAATAAAGTGTTATAGCCATAATTTTTTTTTAATAAAATTATTTTGTTAGTAACTTATCCTACTCCTTTACAATTTGAAGCTTCTCAAAAAAAATTTGAAGCTCCTCCTAAACGATTCAAGAAATTGGAGGAAACAGACACAGGGAAATCAACTTTAACTTTTCCTTTAAAAGATATGTGTAAGAAATTTAGCTATTTAGTTTTATTCTATCAAAATACTGAATGTTTTTTGTTGATATTAGGATTTATATTTATTATTTGAAAAAATTTGTTTTTTTAGCAACTTATACAACTCCAAAATGTGATGATAAAGGTATAATTTATTTTTGTAAATATTGTCTTTTGTTTTATGGAAATTAAATGGTATTAGATTTTATTATTTAGTAACAAAATAAGTTTTAATATGTAGTCATTTATTGGCATGATTTTTTTTATATCAGTGTTTTATTTTTAGTTAAAAATGAGTTATATGAGAGTTTTAAACTTTCCTCAAATAATGAGATAGAGTTTAAAATTGAACAAAGAAATAAAAATAATCAAATTATAAATGCTTATGCAAAGAAAGCTAGCAACACCTGTAAGAGAAATATTTAATTTATTTTTTCAACGTTATTTAATTTAAAAACTTTTTTTTCAGAATGTTTTTTTTAAATAAGTTTTTTTATTATTAACAATTTAATTTTATGCAATTGCCTGATATATTTTTTTAGTAACAACTTCTCTATTTCATCCAACTCCTCCAAAGTTTGAAAATCCATTAATAGATGTTCTTCCCCCCCAAAAAAAAATTAAGATATTAAAGGAGCCAGTCCGAAAATTTTCAAGTTTTTTAAAAGATAAATGTAAGTTTCTTTTTTTTCTGTTGCAGTACTGGACTAAAAAAATTTTTAACATTTAGTGCTTTTGTATTTGTTTCTTTATTCTCAAATAAAAGTATGTTAGTTTTGTTTATTACTCCACAAAATAGTTCGAAAATCAACTCAGCAAGAAAAGAAGAAGGCTTCAGTTTTTCCTTTAGAAGAAGGAAGTTAGTATATATTGTATAAAAAAAAATATGTATAAAAAATAGCATAAGAAATATAAAGATTTTTAGTTTTAATTTTTTAATTACTTAATATACAGGCTTTCAATATAAAGTCATTCATTTACTGACTGAATTGAAAAATGATGTTGCTGATATAAAAGTCATGTTAAAAAATGAAAATAGTTTTGATCTTCATCAATGTAATTCTATCCAGGAGTTTCATGACTTTGATCAATCACTTCTGGATCAAGATATTGCAAAAAATGTGGTAAATTTTTGTTATTATGTTTAAATGTTTTATTTTGATTTTTTTATATTACAATCATTTGTGTTTATTGAAATTTTAATTATACACAAGTTTCTCACTTTACACATACACACAGGGGTGTAATCTCATAGTTGACTAAGTGAATTAATTCTCAACTGACCTAAACAAGACTAGAGCAATATTTTAGTTGCTGTAAAGGCGAACGGATAAAAAAACTGAGGTTACACCCCTGACACTCAGTTACATAATGTTTGCAAAATGATCAAAACGTTAGTAAATTGCTCATATGCAATATTATACTTGTGGTATCTTATTAATTTAGAAACAGAAATTATCTAACATCGGTGGCTTAACATGTAGTGCTATTGCAAAGGGTATGCTTTTAAAGTAAGAAATTTGATTATGAAAAATGCATTTTTAATGCGTTCACACACACACACACACACACACACACACACACACACACACACTTACGAATATATATATAATCTTTTCGTTTTAGAGTGATGTCAAATAAAGTTATGAGTTTTTTTAATATTGCTGGAACAAATAAGCTTAGTTTCAGAAAGACCAATCTGATGAAGATTTTGTGTGGTATTAAGTTATTATAATCAGCAATTATTGCTTAAGTTTAAAGTTTTGTTAAAGATATTTATTTTTTATGATTTTTGCCTGAAATAATATGAAAGGTATTTATCATTACTTTTACAATATATATATATATATATATATATATATATTTTGCGTTTAAGACTGTTTACCTGATTCGTACAGCGAAAAAGACCTTCAAAATGCTGTTGGAAGTATTTTAAAACATGCACCTGACAGGAAAGAGGGCGGAGGACGCCAAAAGTCGATTTTTGGATACGAGCAAGAGGAAGAATAAGATTTTTAAAAATAATAATATATATAAATTCTTTGCAAAAACAAATTAAAAAGTTCGCACTTATTGTTGTATGAATTTTTATTTTCTTTCCTATTTTTATAAAATAATGTGAAAACATAAATTTCAACCTAAGGAAATCAAGCAGTTAGTTATCCAATAAATAATTGTTGACAACTTACTTACGTTAGTGAATTTGCATCTTTTAGACGTCCTAAGAGGACGTCTCAATTTTGTCATAAAAAGACGTCATTTGGCGTTGCCATTTAGAACCAATTCTGAACGTCCTAATAAAGTCGCAAAAAGACGTCTTATTTACGTCTTAAAAAGACGTCCTAGTTAAGTCCTAAAAAGACGTCATCTGGCGTTGCCATTTAGAACCGGTCCTGAACGTCCTAAAAGGACGTCTTTTTGACGTCAAATAGACGTCGGCGTGCCTACTGGGAGATTAAGCAATGCAAGCAATGTCAAACATCTAATACACTTCTTCATCAGCAGAGCCGTTACGTTTAATAAAGGTTACAATGATTTCTATAACAATAAAAAGACTTTACATTTTTTTAATATTATATATATTCAATTAGACCAATGGCACTAAGAAAGAAGAAAGGGAACAAAGAATATTATTTTTTTAATTGTATTCTTGTAGAATATAATTAACTTTTTTTTTAACTAATTGAACTCTCTCTGTCTCTCATCCAGGTCTTTGAAACACTAATTTTGTAAGACAGGGTTTCTGCGTAAGATATCACAAAACCACCAAAGAAAAATTTTATGCAAGATGAAGTATACAGAACATCTAAAAACACGGGATTATTCATGATGATACAACAAAACTCTCGTTGTTATAAAAACAGTTTTGATTACTTTAAACAATAGTTTATATTTAATCGTTTAATATTTGGAAACCTAATATAGACTAATTTAGGTTAAAGTTAAAACAGTAAAAAATGATCTTGTTATATTGTTTTATATTTAATAACTTTAGACAACTCGAGTGTGGGAAATTGTGGGTATTAATTTTGGTGGACCCTTTACGGAAACAGCCCATCGCTGTTTCCGTAAAGGGTCCAGCAATATTTTCTAAGTTGCACAGATTTGTTTTCAACGTGGCCGGTTGCTTATGCTTTACCATATAAAAAAGCCATCACTGTTGCAAAAACAATTATTAAACTAGTTTCAACGTTTGGATTTCCTTTGGCAATACTTTTAGATAATGGAACTGACTTTTGTAATCAGGTAAAAAATAAATGAAAATAATGTAGTTAATTAATAAAATAACTATTTCTAAGGAGTTGTTAGTTTTTTATAACTACTCCAATTTTATTAGTTAAACGATGAAATGTAAAAAATGTTAGGTATTTAAAGAAGAAAAAGAGCAGTTTATCACCCACAATGCAATGGACAAGACAAAAACAAAAATATAAAAAGGTATTAGTGTTTTTTGTTTTAGGCGAGGACCGCTTAAGAGGTTAACAACTTCTTTTAAACTTATTCAATAGAAATTACTTAAAAATTAGTTACATAAATGCAACTAATTTTTGCTTGTTCTGTCAAACGTGTACTATTTATAATTGTTTCATACTTACTACATAGTTAGAATTTATCAAATGCATTTCATTGCCTATTATAATGTTTTTGTTTATATTACAAAGTTATTCAGATTTTCATTTCATTTATTAAATGTAAACGCAATTTGTATTTAGAAAATTAAGAAAACTGGTTAACGAAAATCAAACAAACTAAGACGAATATGTTGATATTGTTTTGTACCCACTACAAATGGAGAGGCAATAATCTACAAAGTAGCACCTTTTAAAATAATGTTTGGTGGTCGGTCCACCAAACATTATTTTAAAAATGTTTTAATTATTAATTCATTTATAGAACAAAACATTGGTGAAAGCAACAGATGAAAATATAACAAGTGAAATGGAAAAAAAATAAGCTTCACATTAAAAATCTTACAAATTTGGTTTTTGAGGTTAGATTTCTTAGGCCTATGCCTAACTACATAATAATAATAATAATAATAATAATAATAGTAATAATAATAATAATAATAATAATAATAATAATAGCAATAGTAATAATGAAAATAATAACAATATTAAATAACATAACAATATTAATTAATAATAAAATCAGGTATGTACCAATTTTGTTTGTAAGTAATTTAGCAAAAAGGTTAAATAGTAACCGTATTTCCTTTATTGACATTCAAGGAAATATGGTTACTATTTAACCTGTTACATAAGCGATGAAGATCTTTATTAACTTTTTTACAAAGAGTCGTGAGGGATTTGTTGATATATAAAAGATTGGTATCGTCAGCATAATGATGTATCATAGATTTTTTTAATAAACAAGATAAATCATTTATATATAATAAGAACAACAACGGTCCAAGAACGGAACCTTGTGGAACGTTTTATTTCATAATTTTCTATGTGGATTCAAATCTATTATTTAAAACAAACTGAGTGCAATCCGTAATATAAGAAGAATGCGTAATATAAGAAGAAAACCAATGATTAGCAATATCACGTATTCCATAGTAGTTTAACTTTTTTATTAGAATGTTGTGATCAACCTTATCAAAAGCTTTTGAAGATCTATGAATACACCACAAGCAAAAGAACCACTGTCAATTGCACCCCGAATCATTTCAGTAATGCTAATATGAGCGTGAAAAGTGGAGTGATTTGAGCGAAACCCAAATTGTCGAATATGAAAACAAGCAGAATTATTGAAAAAGTTGTAAATACGAGAATACATAAGTTTTTCTAAAAGTTTGCTGACTTTTGATAATAATGAGATTGGTCTGTAGTTATTACATTCAAGTATTGAGTCATTTTTATGAATTGGGATAACAGAAGCAGTTTTTAAAATATCAAGGAAAACGCCGGTTGTGAATGACAGATTAAATAGTTCAGAAAGTACAGGAGAGATATCATTTGCAAGAGCTTTAAAAATAGGTATTGGAATGCTGCTAGGCCCCGAAGCCTTGCTGTCATTAAGAGAATGAATAATCGATAATACTTCGTTTTTGTCTGTAGGTTTTATGAACATTTATGATTAGGATTTTTAAGATATTTATTAAAGTCAGTATTGGATGAGTGGATCTTCTTCTGTAAATCTTCCAGAACTGAAACAAAGAATGAATTAAATGATTCCGAAATGTTAATGGGGTCGTATATCATAGAAATGGTAGAAGATAAGCATGAAGAAAATGAGTTAACTCTCGAACTAATATTTAAAAGGTTCTTAATACCATTCCATGTAGATTTCAATTTTTTGGCATTGTCAGAGAAGAACTTAGAGTAATAGTTCTTTTTACTACGACGGGTGAGAGTAACAAGTAAGTTTCTATATGTTTTATAAGATTTTTCTAGATTGAGTTTGTTATTAGGATTCTTTGCTTTAAGAAATTTGTTAAATATTTTATTTCGCATTTTAATAGAAGTCAAGATTCTTCGTGTTAACCAAGGTTTGAGACCCCTTGATAAGCAGCGATTGCTGACTTTTTTTAATGGTGCATGTTTATCTAAAAGAGAATTGAATCTTGTGAAAAATTCTTTAAATGACTTATTAGTTTTACCTACGTTGAAATTGATTACATTAGTCCAGCTAATTTTTGAGAAATCACTACATAATTCATTTGTTTCAATCACTACGCAATTTATTTGTTTTAAATTTCGACAAAAAAATGTAGCTTTTACGAGTTTTAATTTTGGTTCTATAAAATGGATGTATTCAAAATTGGGGCAAATAATCTGATACCGTTGTAAAATTACCGGCAAAATTATTTGTAGAAGTTGCATTAAAAAATATGTTATCAATCAGAGTTTTGGAGTGATTTGTGATTCTTGTTGGCAATGAAATAAAGGGTAGAAAGTTATTTAAAGCAATAGTGTCTAAAATTTCAGAGACAGAATTATCTGAGTTTGCTAATAAAAGATCGACATTAAAATCGCCTATTAAAAAAGTAGTTTTGTTTTTTTCCATCGATAGCTTTTTAAAAAGTGGAATTAAATATGATTTAATAAATTCTGAAATATCCATACTAGGATGGATATTTCAGAATTTATTAAATCAATAGCCAATAATGGTGTTTGATTTTTCAGGAATTATGATTTCCACGAACACAGATTCAAAAAGCTTTGGTTTAACCATATTAAAATCATATTGAAGTTTGTAAATAAATGTATTCGATATATAAAGTAAAGCTCCTCCAAAATAAGATTTTGTCGGAGTGTGCTCATAAACATAACCGGTAAGATTTAATGAAATTCTTAGTAGAATGTCATTTTTTAGTTTAGTTTCAGTTATGCCAATAATACTGAATTTATGATTAATAAGAGATAAAAGTGAGTTTAACTTACAAGCGAGGCCTAAAATTTTTCTAAAAACTATTCTTATAATTTTTTTAAATACTCAAAGAACTATTCAGAAACTAAAGCAATTTAAATTTAAGTGTTAGTTTATGGTGTTAAAAAGTAATATTTAAAAAATTGGGTCCAAATAAAGTTAGTTTAGTTGTAAAAAAAATCAAAACCATTGAAAAGGGGAAAGATATTTATTTTTTACAACTAAAAATAAATAGTCTGAGCACCTTAGACTATAGTTTTATTGTAAAAGGTTTTGATTAAAGTTTTATTTATTTATGATCTTTTGGCAATGACTAAAACTTCAAGAAGGAATTATCAAAAAGATGACAGTACAGACGAAGAGACGATAAAACCTTTTTTTTTTTTTTTTTTTTTTTTTTTTTTTTTTATAATTTAGCCGTACAAATATTTACAAGTTCCGTAATTTAAAATATTTAAAAATGGCAAGGACGAGAAGAAGACGGGGTTGTCTTATCACCAAGTCCCTTGTTTGTCTAGACATTTATATAAATACATGGTAACTAAAATGAAAATTAAAAAATTAAGAAAAAAGCAAAAAATTACAAAGAAGTTTATATAAAATGCCAAATAGTTTAATAGTTCAAAGTTTTGAAAGATATTTTTTCGATTTTATTTTTTGAAAGAAAAATTTAAAAGTTCATTCAGAAA